CACAAGCATTCCTGCCTCTTGTGCAAGCCCAGGCATGTCTGAATGTCCAGAGTAACCAATCCACCTCCTCTGCCTTCCCCTGCAGGGGACATGGGCTGGGCATTTTCAGCGCTACCCTAGAGTACCAGGACCTTCCCAGGAAGAGGTCATGGTGCTCCTCTCCAACCCCAGATCACCCTGGGGAGCTGAAGCACTTCCCATGCTCTGTGTGCAGCAAGAGGAGCTCCAGAACAGCACTTCATCCTTGCTGGGCCCACTGCTGCGCTCCCAGCCCAATGCTCCCACGCTGCGCTGACCTGGCACCCAGTGTCTGTGTCCTGCGTGGCCACACAGTGGCAGCTTCTCCCCTGGCTCTGGAGCACCTACAGACTCCTTGGAGCAGTGTTGGCTGGTGGTCACCTCTGGGTCCAACCCTCTGCTCTAGACTGAGCCAGTTCAGGTGCTCAGCACCATGCTTAGCTGAGATCAGAACATCTCCAAGAACAGAGACCCCACCACCCCTCTGGCCACCTTTCCCAAGGTTTGACCACACTTAGAGTAACAAAGGTTCTCCTGAATTTGAGCTGGAGTTTCTTCTGCTCCGGTGTCTCCACTGCCTCTTGCCCTCTCACTGTGACACCTAAAAGGGTTTGGCTTGATCTTCTTCACACTCTCCCATCAGCTATTTGCAGACAGCAGTGAGGTCCCCCCTCACTTTCTCTTCTCCAGGCTGGTCTCCCATAGCCTCTCCTTACCCGTCCTGTGCAGCGGGAACTGTCCTAGGGGCTTAGCCACCCCCTCACTGGTTTCTTGCACTGGCAACTAAGATGGTACCAGTGGCTTCACAAGCAAACCCTGAGGAACATGAACAACCAGCATCAGTTAGATGTTGTACTGCTGACCACATTGAACATGGCAGTCTAGCCAATCTTCCATGCAACTGATAGTCCTCTTTTCCAGCCTCAACATCTTCAATTCTGCTATAAAATGCCACATGAAAGTGCCAAAAGCCTTGCTGAAGTCCAGATGAACATTCACTCATCTCCCCTTGTCCACACAGCCAGCTATCTCCTTGGAGGATACAATGGGGCAGTTCCCCAGATATTCCTTCTTACCCCTCTTGCAGAGGAATGGAACAAATGTCTTTCTTCAGGTGTCACAAACCTCCCCAGATCACTAGGACTTATCAAAGATTAGAGAGTGTGATGACATTGACTGGTTTCCTCAGCACCTTCAAATGCTTCCCTCAGGCCGTGGCATGTGGCTTGGGCCCTGGAACACCTGAAGACAGACTTCACTAGCCAAAATCAAGGCAAGACCAACAGCGAGTACCTTGGTCTTTTCCATGTCCTTTGTCAGAACACTCTCTGCTCCACCAAGGAGCAGGCCTGCATTTTTCCAAAGCCTTCCTGCTGCTGCTGAAGCCCTTAATGGAGAAGCTGTTCTGTCTTTCATACGCTTCTCCAAGTCCAACTCCAGCTGAGCTTTGGCTCAGCCAGCTCCACCCCTGCATACTCAAGCAATGTCTGCTCCCTCAGAGCAGCCTGTCCCCTGCTTCTCCTTTCTGCATTCATCCTTTCCCCTCCTGCCCATCCACATTGGTTGCCTACCACACTTGCCTGACTTCAGTCTGAAGACCTCCTTGGGTTTTGCATAAGCTCTGGTCCGTGTTGCTCTGCAAGGGTGTCCCTGTGTCCTCCAGTTCTTAGAGGCTCTGCCAACAGCTGCCTCCCTGCCCTAGTCTCCCTAAGCTGTCCCTGATGAACAACTGCCCTCTTTTCACCTGGAGAATCATCTGCTACAATGATCTGAAGACAAAGGAGAAGTTGTTAGTTTTTCCTGCAATGAGGCAGAAGAAAGCATGCCATGGTTGGCATCAGTAAAACCTCAATCTTACACTAGCTGAAGAAGCAGGCTTGGCAATCCTGTCCAGTGATGTGAGAGGAGTTGGTCCTTCTAACCTGGGGGAGCTCACAATCTCTGGAAGCCAAATAAGCCTCTGACAGGCTGCAGCATTCATGCAGAGCTGGCTTCAGCCCCTCTCCATCCTGATGCCGTTCTCCAGCAAGGCATCAGGAGAGCAGCCAAAGCACCAGAGATGGCAGCCAGGCAATCAGCTGGATTGCCATTCATGCTCCCTGGGTCCACACTAGCCCTGGCTTTTCCCTCAAAGTCCAGAACACAAGGCATGGCTTTTCTAGCACTGGGCTTGAGCAGGGACGCTCCGTCCACATACACATTCAGGCTTGAGACACTGCCCTGGATTCACATCCTCAGGAGCAGGCTAGGACATTGCTCTGCATCTCTCCAGAGCGGCTCCACCAAGGGCAAACCAGAAGCCTGCAAGAGGCACACAAGCACAGATACCTACCCCAGCCCAAATCAAATAAAAACCAGCTTGCATAGCACGACTACTGTCAGAGCAAGCACCAAGAAACCAGGCCAAACAGAGTAGACCACCAAGTAACACACCAGCCTGAGCAAAAGATCATGGCCACAGGGTGAGTGCTCCCATCCCCACTAACACTTGCTTTGGTCTCTGGAGAAGGTTCAAAAAGCAGTCCACCATAAAATGCTGCTTAGAAATGGCTTCCTCCAGTGGCACAAGAGAAGCCACCAGCGGTCCACCTTCAGAGATCAGCCTCTTCTCCTGAGGCCTGTTGCAGCAATGGGCTGTGCTTGGCAGGGCAGGAGCTGCCAAGACCTACAATGCACCACCAGCGAATCAAAGATTACTTGGAAGCAACCACATTTGTGGTCCTTGAACTAATAGACGTCTCAGGCTCTCTTCCTTTCAGCCCACCATCTCTCTGAACACAGAGAACTGGAAGCACAAGCCTTGGATTCACTTAGACCTGTGTACAACAGTACAAGCTGCTCTGCATGGAGGTCTTGCAGCAGTGCTCAATGCAGACCATGAGACCAGGCCAGAGCATGCGTGACAGCTCTCTGGGACACCATCACAGGTCACCAGTTAAAACAAAGCCAAACCAAAGACACTGCAGCATCCTTCACTGTCAGCAGTGGGTTGAGCCATGGTGTTTAAGAGATGATAGTGACACTACTAGAGATCCAAGGACAGCTTTGGTTTTCCAGCTCACCACAAAGCCTCCCTAGCTCTAGAAATACCCAAAAATCACATCTCCTTCAGAGCACTGCCTGTCTGAAACATGTTTGAGCTTGTGAATACACAAGGTCCTTGTCCAGCTGAGAAAGCACATGAGGATTTATCTTTCCCTGCATAAGCAGCCCTGGCATTTACCTCACCCACCTGCTGAAACAGGATCCCAGGCATCAACCTCCAGGCAGCTTCTTTTGGTAAGGTTAAGAACCATGTCTCAAGAACATCGAACAGTTTAAACTGGAAGGGACCTTAAAGACCAC